AGACCTGCTTCCCGAATCTCCTTTTAGACAGCTTCTCCCTGTTTCTTCACATCATCTGCCCTTCATATGTGTTTCTCTGTCCAGATTTTTCCATTATGAGGACACCAGCTAACTGTATTGGGGCCCACCCTAATGATTCCATTTTAACTTGGTTACCTCCCAAGTCTTTCTAAAAACCACACCTGCTTCTGGGCTCAGGTGGTGAGAGGTTAGAGAGAGAAAAACAGCAACAGGCATCTCTCCCCCTCTTGGAGCCAAAATTACCTGAACTGAGAGAAGGGCTCCCTGCCCTTGCAGTTTCAGGTACCTGCACGATGACTGCAGGCACTCCTGCCAATGCTGCTGGGTTGATTGCCTGGGAATGGACGGGAGAAGATGGAAAAAACAAACCCCCACACCCAGAAGACTTCCCTACCTTTCAGTTCCCACCAGGGCGTGGTGCCAGATTCAGGCTGTCCTTGAATACAGCTGGGAGACACAGTGCTCTTTTAAAATGGGGGAATTACGGCTGATTCATTGGTACTTCAAATTCTCACTTCCTCCCCAGATCTGCCTGCTACCACCTGCTGTTCAGAGTCCTCAGGGGCCTGCTCCATGCCTCTGTATGGTTGCCCTCGGTGACGGAGACCAGGTGGTGTGAGCTGTTTGCCTTGGCAGAAACGAACACCTGTTTGCCCTGCTAGGTTGCAGGGCAGAGGGATGGGAGACCTGGGGGTCTCATCCAGTGCCTGCTGCCTCTCCTGGTGACCATCCCTCTGCCAAGCTGAAATGCTCAACGTCATTTCACCATCTCAGAACTGGCTTTCAGAAAACCTGCATTCAATCCTTTGCTCTGAACTATTAAGTACACAATCGAGAGAGGGAAAGAAAGGAAGGCTGTAGAAAATGATGTTTTTTGAGAACCTTCCATGTGCCAGGCAAGGCAGCGCACATTCATGATCTTATCATTCTCAAAATAACCTTATTTTAATTTTTTTTTTTTTGGTTACAGGTGGACACTGTATCTTTATTTTGTTTATTTATTTTTATGTGGTGCTGAGAATTGAAACCAGCACCTCACGTGTGCAAGGCAAGCTCTCTGCCACTGAGCCACAATCCCAGCCCCCAAAATAACCCTTTAAAATCATTCTTATGCTCACAGAAAATGGAATCAAGTTGGTCCCACTGTTAGTAAGCAGGAGAATACAGACCCAGGTGGAATGCAGTGCAGATCCCAATTCTGGCCTCCCCTCTTTGCAGACCTATGACCTGCACTCTGCCGAGCACTTCCACACATGGCAAAGGATGGAGGCTGCTCACACTTGTCTTCCATCTCTCTCCTTAGTCCCCATGCTTTGTGATGTGGCAGCTGTGAGTGGCTCTAGGGTCTCTCCTGAACCCCTTTCTGAAGCCTTTAGGACAGAATCGATATCCAGCTGGCAGGCACAGCAGAAGTCGACATTTGAAGTCATTTTGTGCCAGCTGGTTAAAGTCTGCCTCCCTGAGCCACCCCAGCCACCTGCCCTCGCCACCCCCGGACCTCCTGCCCTCTCCAGATTCCTACAACTCCAGGACTGAGGCTTGGGAACCTCCCTCCAGGACCCCATCAACTCTTCCTGACATCCACATGATCAGCATCCACGCCCCACTGGCGGGTCACTGGGCTGGCCCCTCTGCTCAGAAGATGTCTTTGGACCATAGCTATGTCATCTTTTCCAAGGGGAATTGAAAACTTATTTTTGTCAACTGACTGCCATTTAACTCCACATTGAGTTGACCGAGAGACACACTTAACTACAGAGGACTCCTGATTCCCTTAGGAAACTGGAGAGCCTCACCCAGTGTCCCAGGCCAGCACCTGCGAGCGTCTGAGAAACACGTGCTGAGCCTGCATCCCGCACCCCGAGGTTCCCCCCCCCCCCGCCGGTTCCCTGCGTCTCTTGTTGCTCCCTCTGCTAGTCCTGCCGTGCCTCCTCCACTTGAATCCCTCACAGCTAAGCTGCACAGAGACTGTCGCCTGTGTGACACAGAGCTCTTAAATTTCACCCCTTCTTTACGGCAGTTTCCAAGGGAAAACTGCTCTTGACATATTTTTGAGATTGAACAGGTTTCAGTGGGAGCACACTCCTGAAACTCGCATCCAGGATTATCCACAATCCCAAAAGATTTTTTTTTTATAACTTTCAAACTTCATCATAGGAGTTTGCCTAGGAAAAAGAGTATATATGATTTTTTTTTTTTCAAATAGAAACTAGGACCACCGATCTCGTGACTTAGAAATGCAATAATGTTCCAAGGGACTGGATCTGGGTTATAGAGAAGACAATTAAGGATAATTAAAAGCAAAGGATTTCTTTACAGTTCTCACAGGTGAAAGCCATGAGCTGAGTTCCTATTTACAAACTCACTCCACAACCCATGAACCGACCAAGCTTCCACGGTCCCTCACTGAGAGCTGCCAGGGCCCTGCTAGTAGCACTCGCACCTAATGTGATGCGAGGCAGTGACGCTGAGCCTCCTTCTGACTCCTGACTAATCAGGTGGTCAGAAGCAGCAGATCCAAAAGCAGAATGGGGAGGTGCAGGGATTTGTCCCAGCAGGAAGAATGACAACTTCTTGGCAAGACCACGAGAAGGACACTTAGCGTCTCTCTGCCTGGGGCTGCTGATGCTGGGGCAAACACCCCGTGGACAGTGTTCTGCTACAGCAGCTTCCGTGGATCTTGGGGACAGCAGACTGTCACAGCAGATCCTAAAACACTGAGGTGATGATAATGCAAAAAAGTTAAGAAGAGACACATTTTGGCCTAAGGCGCTTTCCAAGAAGATGATTCTACCAAAATCAAAAATTCCCATATCTAGAGAAACAAACTCCAGCTATCCAGGAAACTCTGCCACCCAGCATGGCTCATTACCCACAATGACCACGTTCTGGAAGAACTATCGAGGACACTGAGAGAATGGAAGGGAAGTGTTCTCGACACAGGAAGGATGACAGTGTGAGGCATTTCATGCCAACCAGCTAGACTGTCATTCTGCATGTATATAAACAGCCTGAGACATCTTTACATGATAAATATATATGATTTTATCTGTCAATTAAAAAATAGTTCAAACTTTTAATGAGATTTTGGACATTCTTTTTTCCAATACCAAGTCTTTGGAATCCAATGTGTATTTCAAACTTATATCTCGGTTCAGGTACTAAATTTTCATCAGAAAAACTTTATCTGTATTCATATTTAATAAAATTTATAATTTAAAAAGTAGAGTCACATGCTCAAGTTGTTATAAACTTAAATTTTTCTAATAACAGAATTAACCATCAAAAATTCATCTTTATGTAATTCCAATCTAGATTGACAAAACTGGCTTGTTTTTTAGAAGAATTAATTTGATTTTGAAGAAAAAGCATGTCTAGCTTCAAAACTGTGTCTATCTGCTGGACACGCTGGCACACACCTGTAATCCCAGCAACTCGGGAGGCCAGGGCAGGAGGATTGCAAGTTTGAGGCCAGTCTCACTAATTCAGTAAGACATGGTCTCAAAAAATAAAAAGGAAAGTGATGGAGATCAGTGGTAGAGTATCCCTGGGCTCAATCCCCAGTATAAAGAACAACACCACCAAATATATCTATCCAAGTTTAGGGAGTTCACAAACTTTTGTAGCAACTTGTTAATATTAATACTGACTTCATAAATCATTTATAAGCAACTCTAAATACAACATAACATTCTTCAAATTCTACTTGCAATTTTTCAGTGAACTGTAATGCTGTCCAATTAAAATAAAATTATCTGCATATTTAATTTAGAAAAATATGTACAGCTATAATATTGATTCGTGTCATGAAACGTTTCCATTTTAACACAAAAACTCGTTATGGGTTGAATTGGGTTCCCCTCCGAACAGATTCGTTGGTGTGCTAACCCCCAGTCCCTCAGAAGTGACCCTTCCAGAGAGGTAGACACTCCACAGAGGTGGTCAAGGTAAGATGAGGCCATGAGTGGACCTTGACCCAGCACAACTGGTGCCCTGATGGCACAGATATGCGCAGGCAAGGCCACCTGCAGACAGCGTGGGGAAGCCTGGAGCAGCTCCTCCCCAGCAACCGCAGAGGCCTGACCACCGCACCTGGACTTCAGAGTCTCAGCTCTATATCCGTGAGACCACTTGCTGGTGGTGTCCTAAGCTGCCCTACAGTACGTGGCAAGTTTTAAACAGCAGCCCTAGGAAACTAGCACTATCCTTACAGAACCAGTCACAAAGAAGCCTTGCCTCTCACCACACCTTCAAATCAAGCTGTTCCATGATGAGAAAATGTAACCACACTGCCTGGTTTTGTCTTTGATTCCTGAGTATCTGCCAAGCATTTCTTTTGTGTCAGGAATCCCGAATTGAATCAACAGTGTAGGTCTTCCCTGACTTAACCAACGTGCTTTGGCAAAATGCACGAGATTGGAAAATTCAATCTTTCCATAAATTGGTGATGTTCAAAGCATTTGAAGAATTCATGTTGCCTCAAGAGAAATCACATCACATCCCAGGATATGAGAACGTAGCCTCACGACACAATTCTATTCTGAGGTGCAGGGGGCACAGAGAAGGCTCTGGAGCCAGGCAAACCAGGGTGTGCTGCTCAGTGCCACTCTCCAACAGGGTGGCTGGGGCACGTCCCTTGCCTCTGTTCAGACTCCTGATCTGCAGAACAGGCACATGCCACCTTCTTCACAGGGTCATCAGGGGGCTAATTTAGATGGCTTGGCTAACAGCCCCCTGTTCACTTCTTGGCATGCCCTCAATAAATGCCTTGCTCTTCCCTTGGGGATCTCTGAGGACCCCTCTCCGAGCTTACTTGGGTGTCTTCTGCCTCGTGCTCCCAGTTCTCTGGCAGCTGTTTAGCCAGCTCAGGGCTCCTCCCCTCCCCTCCTCTCTCCCCTTCCCATTGCATTCCAGCACAGTCACCCCCTCCAGCATGCGTGAACTTGTGTGTAAAAACCGTACGAAGTGTCCAGCCATACTTGTCTGATGGGTGGGACTCCACAAAATACCCAGCGAAGGGACAATAGATTCGGGGCTGCAGGTCCTTCACCAGCTGAGCCTTGTAGTTCAGCAGCTTCTTCCTCTCTGTCTTAATGAACTGGGCTTTCCACTCCTCTGCAATGACAGTATTTGGGTTAGAGTCTCCTCTGTTCAGAAACCACAGAAAAGCAGATGCTCTGGTAAGCTGGAGCTTGTTCAGAAGGATGACTAAGGTAGAATAGAGTATAGCTCTGAGGCATTGGGCTTTCTCTTTGATAGGGGTGATTTTGGGATCCCTAGCTAAATACAAAGGTCAGTATGTATAGTCACACCTCGAGTGCGAGCACATTTTAAAGGCACTGTAATTCTAACTTTACTAACAAATGAATGAGTATCACCTTAGCCTATTATAAAAGCGGAGCCTATTTGTCACACCTTACAATGCACAGTAATTTAGAGCATAAATGTGGAATCATATGTAGGTTCAAGGTCCTGCCCCACCATACACTGGTTGTGCAATATTGGGTTAAACTACCTAACTTTTCAACATCTGGTTCCTCCTCTATAAGTGCAATCCTGATGTCTACGTCACAAGATTGTCATTTACCAATCCATTCTCTCAATCAATATCTGTTGTGTACCTACTATGGGCTAGAAGTGGTTGTAGGCACTGGGAATACAATAGTGAACAGGACCAGGCAGGTGCCTGCTCTCGGGAGCATTTGCTCTAGTGAGAGAAGCAAATAAAAAAAGTCTTTACAGAGAGTTAGGTGCTAGGAAGAAATTAAAACTGGGCCAGAGGACAGAGGATATCTGGGGCAAGTGGGTGGGAAGGAGGGTCTTTAGGCAGGGTGGTCAGAGAACCAATGGCCATTGAGATTGGACATAAAGTTGGCAGTCACGCCGTTTGTGGGCAGGAGGACCCCAGGCAGGGGAAAGAGCCAATGCAAAGCCCTGGCAGGAGGGCATTTGGAAAGCCGAGGGTGAGGAACAGAAGGAAGGGCGGCTGGGAGACAGCAGGCTTCGGGAGACGGGCGGGAGAGTGAGCTGGGGATTAGGCAGGACCAGAGTGTGCAGGGCCAAGGGTCAGAGAGCCGTTACTATGTTATTGCCATGACATTTGATAAAGATAAGAACATAGATACAGGCACTGATAGTATTTCTGTCTCCTCCAGCTCCTCCCGGATGCTGATGCCTGCACACACACTCACACAGACAGGCACGGTGCTGGTTAACCCGGAATGAGTGCCTCCCTAGCACACTGTGAGTTCCCAGGGCCAGAAGCCTCCCTGTCTTCCCTGATTTCGCATCCTGGAGGCTGTGAAGCCGACTGCAGAAGGAAGCAGGGGCGCGGGAGAGGCTACTTCATTCTGCAAGGAGGGCATTTCCTGCCACATTGTCCGACAGGGATCGTTACTAACATGGTGATCCACTAATCAGAAGTAGTGAGCACTCAGATGCTGAGGTCGAGGATACCTAATGAAAGAAACATACCACTTACACATTTTCCTCATGCTAAGCCATGCTCTGTTCTTGCAGTGCTCTGAGTAAAAGGGCTCCTATCTGGGATCCCACAATTTAGAGGGCTCCTTCTGTCCATGCCCCTCCCTGCTGAGTTTACACAGGAACAACAGGACTTGCCACCTGAGCTGTTTTGGATCATATTCCAAGGGCATTTAAGCCTGGGCACCAGTCTCACACCTTCTCCATTCTGCTGGGTTCCAGAAACCCCGTTCAATCTTTCTCTTAGCTCTTCCCTGTCCTGCATCTGATCTTGGTGTTCCTTTCATGTACCATCATCAGATTCTGAGCTGGGAGCATCAGTTTGCAACATATGTGGCTGTAAGTCTGGTTTCCCTGGAAGGCTGCAAATTTCTTGCAGGGAGGAAGCACATCTCCATTATCTTTGTACTTATTCTCACATCACTGAGCAAAGGGCCATGCCTGATGTTTGGTATCTCATTGATACAAAATATTACCAGTGAATTTTCCACCGCTGAAGGTCATTGGAAAGCCTGATGCTCCTCCAGCAAAATCATTCATCATCAGAGCAGCATTCACCGGCAGCCTTCCCCCATTGGGTCTGGTGCAGTCCACGGTATTGAGTATCTTGTGACCTGTGGAAAGAGAACACATGTTCAGGTGGAATCTCAAACAGCACAGCTAGAGTTCCCACGCCAGCAGTCTTCTAGGTACGCTCTACATTCTGACTTATTTTACTATAGAATTGGTTACATTCAAGGAAAAAAAGAAGAAAATTGCAAAATATAAAGACTTCAGTAGCATACTCTAAATTTTCAAGTGAATCACTGCATTTGATTGGGTAGATTCTGGTGTCTCAGGAAGATAATTAGATTGATTCCACTCTGGGTCGCAAATATATCACCCGTCTCAACCAACTCTCTCCAGACATTAAGCCGAAAGGATGCAAAGAAGGAAGAAAGACCCGATCATCACGAATCCTTCTATTTTTTGCAAATTCTATGCAAAGTTCAAACTTAAGTCATTATCAAGGCAGGAGGACCATGTTCTCATAAGAAAGTCCAAAGTGTATGATTGGATTTCCTAATGAAATTTTGAGATGAAAGTAACTAAAGACATTTATTCACAAAAGATATTTTTGAAAAAATTACTATAAATATAAAATTTAAAATATAAGAATTACTATAAAATATAAAATATTGATTGCCCAGTAGAAAAAATCTTCACCCCTCTCATATGTACATTAGATTATTGGTAATTTTTTTCTCTGAAAAGAACATAGGAATGGCTACTCGTCTTACTAAGACAAGGATACAATGTACTCGATCCTCTGAAAATTAAGATACAGAGAAGATGAGAACAGGATGAAGCTGCAGGTGGCTACCACCATCACTCCTACCCAGAGTATTTTTCATTTTTCATTGTTGCTAAGGAGGAGAAAGTACCTTTGTACTCCACAATAATGCAAGTGTCCATCTCAGGATGAACGCCATCCATCAAGATCATGAATCGAAGATTTTTGTCTACCTGGAATTTAACAATAAAACCAACAACTGTGTATATCAGTTTGGGCTTTAATCCAGTATTTGATAAGGTTGTCACTTCTGGAAAGACTGGTTAACCAGACCTTTTTAAAAAACCTTTCAGACAATTTTTTAAAAGCCCCTTATTTGGAATGGGATTTATTACCCTGTCTTATAGGGTTACTGTTGTCAGTGGAGATAAATCGTCTTTTAATCCTCTTTTACTTAACTGTGCAACATTTGAAGCTTAAATGAAGGCAGTATTTACCCAGCACAGGTCCAAACAACATGGCCTTTTCTCTTAGTCACCTCATCTAAAGTCAACCTCAGAAAGCACAGGTGGAAAGTACAGAAGGGAACTGATCCCTGACCTGCTGCCATGCTCCAAATGGCACCACGTTGATGTTAGTCAACTGGACACCGCTGTGTTTCAGATTCCAAAACACTGGTCTTTCTGTGTCGCCAACATAAATGGGAACATCCGGTCGTCTCTGGGAAAGCTTCTGTAGTGTCGGGTAACTAGGGTCAGAGAGAGGGAAAGGTGAAAGATGGAAAAATAGGGTTGTCTAGGATAAGAGACTGTCTGTTCCTGAGACCAACACGTTGACCGAAGAGCAAGGAATTGAAAATCAGACCCTCACCAGAGACCAGAGGAGCATCTCTGCTCAAGGCTGATTAAAGTGATAAGGAGAGTCTCTAGGAGATTGTGCTTTCTCCTCAGAGTGTGCATGCACCACACGGTAGCTCTGTAGAGGGTCGTTATGTGCCAAGGTTGTGTGTGCCATTGTGGGGTATGGCAAGGACGAATGATGAACGGCCAGTTGCCTACTGTATTTCAAATGTGCACGAGTTCTAGGCTCTTCTTCACACTTTATTTGATTCTCACAAAGAGTTCTGAGGTTGTTTGTAGACGAGAAAACATCTTCAGAAATGTACAACTCACAAATAGTACGTTGGCACTCACATCTGGATTTTCTGATTCTGAACCTGGTGCTTCTTTTAGAAGGCAGGTCTAACTTTCAAGAATGTCCTCTCCAGTTTAAGAATCAGACTCACACACAGAATGTAATGTCAGGTGAAATAAATTTGTAATCATAAGAAAAGTATGAGCAAAGTCCACATATGGGATTTATCAACTGTACTGACAATGTTCACATTCCAACACTGTTAAAATAGGTCCGGTGGGGAAGAATTGCCTGGCTTTCTTTGAATAAAGGTTATCCGCTAGAATACACTGACCATTTCCCTTGTTTTTGTGATTCAGGGAGGTCCTATTCAATAAATAAAGATCAGATGGTATGACTGGGAGCAAATGAACTCAACACTTATTGTTCGACTAAGAAAGAGTTGAAAATGGTCAACCAAAGAAATGACTCCAGGGAGTAAAAGTCACAAGCTTCAGCAACTTTCCAGTGATCGGTTCTTGGCAACACACCGCACAGGTGTCGGGCACTACAGTGGAACCTGGTGTCTTGGTGCATGACAACTGTGCTACACAAGCCTCTGAAGCTAACCTAAAAAGGTTTCAGCCAGTGGCTAAAGAATAGACTGACTAGATGACATTCAAAATTCTTACCCATGCCCCTAAAACTCAGTGCATTCCCAGAGAGTGTTCTCATTTGAACTTTAGGCAATTACATTTTATAGCAGACACCATAAAACAATTGCCTCGTTATCATGATACTGTTATCATGGTGCCATGACCAACCATACAAAGTTGTACCACACACTTCAAGTCACTGTGCAGCACAAGAACCCAGGGTCTCATAAGCCTAAAGTTGTGCAAAGTTGGTTCCAAGGGCTTGTGTGAGACAAAGCAATCAGATGGTCGATTAGTGGACTTTTTGGACGGTGGTACCACCACACTGCAGTGGGCTGTGGTCAGTTAAGGAGTATGTTGCAGGTACTCTGTTACTAAGTCAGTTAATTAAAAAAAATCAAACTACTGCCTTTAGAAAATAAAAACAAAAGCATATCCATGCCCCATAGTTCCCGTGTGCTTTAGAACAGACCAGCAAGGAGCCAGTCAACCAACAGCCAATCTATTAACCCTAACCATGGCATTTATGTGACTCTGTCACGTAGGAGAAGGCAAAGCTGCCTCAGAAGAACCCTGCGGCCACGGCTCTGTGTGGATGATGGCAACTGAGGAAAGGTGACGACGCTTGCAAACCAGGTAATCAAGCACCACCCTGCAGTTCAGCTGAGGGGCGGGAGAAGGTCCTCCCTCCTGTGATACAGCTCATTTACAAATACGAGTGGCTTCTCCCTCCTCTCTCCTCTGACGGCCTGGGTAAGGGATGCTTCTTCGGGATCACCAGTGTCCAGTTCCTCTGGTTTCAGCAAAGTGTGGCCTGGGTTTGACTCGGGCTCCTGAGTCCTGCAGGAGCTCTAGGGGCTGTAGACCAGGCCTGGCAAGCCAGTGGCGGGAGCCAAGCCTGGCCTGCTCTCTGCTTTTGTGTGACTTTGCAAGCTGAAGTCAGTTGTGTTCTCCTTTTAGATGATCGTAAAGAAAATCAAACAGACAGTAATAATATATGATTCATAAAAATTATGTGATATGAAAATATCATCATCCCTGAAGTTTTATTGGGAGAGTCATTTCCTTTCAGGACTGTCTGTGGCTGCTTTTGAATGATAGTGGTGATGTTGACTCGGTCACAATGCTGATTACATGGCTTTCGGAGCCTAAAATATTTACACTGGCTCTTTATATTTAAAAAAAAAATGAAACAGAGGCTGATTCCTGTTATAAATGCTGAGCTGAGGAAACAAAACCCCAAAGCTCAATCCTGCTGACCTTCAGCCTAAACTTGCACCGCCTAGTCTCAGGGTGGCACGTGAGGGGACTGTGAACCCTGTCCCCCTGACAGAGCTTCCTCATTTCCACTGGCGCAAAGCATGGAAGCCCTTGTTACATTGAAATTGCAAAGTGCATGCACACATCCGTCTTTGTTAGTGCTCTTCTCTTCATTCCAAATGAAGTGCTTCGGAGCGAGTGGTCACTGCAGGAGAGTTGGAGGACCGTCCTGCTCGTATCGCAGCGTTACTGGCCCCCGAGGTGGTGCCAGGGCTCCTTACCTCAGGTGGTCTGAGTGCATGTGGCTGATGTAAATCAGGTCTGCTCGGCACAGCCTCTCCAGCCAGTCTGAGGGAGGCTCATGCAGCAGCCACCATCCTCGGGCAAAGGCAGGACCCATTAGCCAAGGGTCAAACACCATCCTCTTGTCTCCCAACTTGAGGTCCATGCAGGCATGCGTGAGATACGTTACCTGCGGGCAGAGTGAGATTCCTGTGACTGAGGCACTACTGGGCAGCAAAAGTAAACAGAAAGCTTCTCCTGGCTCGCTGACAACTCGGGTCGGAGAGTTTTGTTCCTAAGCAAGGTTAGGCAAGAGCTTGGGCTCAACTGCGGCTCAGCAGGTGCCTGAAATGAACAAACTCCCAGCACAGCCCTGACTCTATCAGAGCAGACGCTCTCGTGTTGGGTTTTAGGTGTCAAACCAATTGATTTACCCAAGCTCACTCTATCTAAATCTGGCATTTACGTGTGACCCGCACCATGAATATCTTTTGTGACTCGTCCTTCACAGCACAGTCTGCAAGGTGCTGTGGCCAGCATTGGGGATCTGAGCATGAGAGTGGCTGTGAACAGGGACATGAGTGAATGACGCCGAGGAGGGTGCGGGTGCGGGTTGGCACAGCGGAGCAGCCTGGATGGACCCGCCATGTCCGTCAAGAGGCCTGCGTGGCCTTCTCTTCCCATCACCCGCCAGCTCAGCCTGCAGGATGCAGGTCCTGGGAGACACAGTGGCTTACACAGACCAGCACAGACTGGGGAATTCCAACCCCGTTCCTCCTGATCCTGCCCCCGCCTGGCCTGAGAAAGATAAGGTAGCAAGAGCCCCAGCACCAAAGCCAACGGGAGCAGGGCAGGAGAGGTCGGGGCCAAAGTAGCTCAAATCCTGCCCGTCTGGGGCGCCTTCCCTTGTTTTTCCTGAAGAAGTAACTGCTCAAACATGCCCACGTTTCCAAACACACAGAGAAATGAATTTAAGATTGTCTCTCCCAAACTAATGTTTCCTCTGAAAAATCCCAACTTCTAAGTCTGGAAAAATAGATAAGGAGGTTTTGAAAGATATTAGGGCAAGATGTAGAAATATACCACTGTCCCTTGCTGGGGCTTGGATGTGGCTTGTCCCCCACAGTCTCCTGTATGACCAGCCCGGTGCCATCATGGCCGGTAGAAGTGGGGGGATGCTAAGAGGCGGGGCCTAGTGGGAGGCCTCACCCTAGACTGATGCAGGATCAGCCCAACTGCCTAGGGGACAAGTTGTCACAGGTGGACTGGCACCTTTCACAAAGGTGCTTCTTGCCACTCTTGCACGGGCTCCTGCCATTGGGATGCCATCCAATCAGGAAGCCCTCACCAGAGCTGAGCAGATGCCAGCTTCAGGCTCTTGAACTGCCAGAACTATGGGTCAGTGTCTTTTCTTTATAAATTACCCAGCCTCACATATTTTGTTACAGTGACAGAAAACAGACTAAAACACCATTCTGTCTGATGAGGATTTGACATCCAGCTAATTTCTGAACTTCCTCTAGTAGTTTTGTATGGTTCTCCTTTAGGATCTGTTCCTGTTCTAAAGTTTTGTATTGTTTTTCCCTGAATATATATGAAGGATATTTTTGTTTTATTTCTAAGAATATTAAAATTTTACTGTTTTCTTACCTGCACTTCCCCAAAAGCCAAATCTTCAGGGGGCCTGGGATCTGAATCCCAGGGGTTAGGAGGATTTAGTTCTAGAAGTAAAAGTCCACTGTTTTCATCCATTTCAACAACTGGAACCAAAGGGAAATAAATTTGGATTATTAACAAAAAATGGCTTAAAAAGTATTACTGAAATAGCAACCTGTGGTTCAAGTACACAGAGTAGAAAAAAAAATCAAAGGAAAATTAAAACAAGTCTACCTCCGACTCACTTTACAGCCCAGAACTCAGAGGCCTGCGTAGCTGGACATGCACCACTTCACCGCAGTGAGTGAGGGAGAGGGATGGGCTCGGTGCCGAGAAGTGCCTTCTGGTAAGGGCCAAGCCCGTTTCACACAATAAGTAACCCCAGCCAGTCCGGGAAGGTGGGGTGTCTGGGGACCAGAGAACCCTGGTGATGCAGGCAGGGGGATGGGCCCCAGCATGTACGGGTGCCGGGTGTGGAGAGTTCGCTGTTCACAAAGTGCCCGGTAAGTGACAGCCTGGCGAGTCAATGGCCTATGGGGACTGGACCAGTCAGAGCCTGAAGGCCCCCACGTGCCATGCCCAGTGGTTTCGGTTTTATCTTGGAGCCAGGAGGAATCAGTGAGGCTGTGAAGGCACTGTGGGGACCCTGGTGGCAGCCTGCTCAGGACCCACTGTCCTCCTCCTCCTTCCTGCAGCCTCTGATTCCCCAGGAGGTGTGTGTCGCTGAGGCGGGCCACTCAGGCAGGCCTGTGGTCCTGGAGGCTCCTAGACAAAGCTCCTACACATTCTGAGCACAGCTCTGGCCGGCGGGATGTGCGTGGATGTCTGCAGCAGGATTTGCGGGAACACTGCTCCTTCCCTGACCAAGAGGAAGGATCCAGGGACCTGCCCTAGTGGCCTTCCACTTTCCCCTCTTATTTGGACATGGTTGCTATTCCTTAGGGACAGGAGCCGTCATGAGACCCTGAGGAAAAGAGCCACTTACTAAGAGACAAAGCAGAGAGGAGGCGAGCAGGCTCCTGGATGGAGCCATGGAACCACGGCACTTTGCTCTCCGAGTTGCTGTGATGTGAGAAGCAGGCCCCCGTAGGATCAGGACCCGGGATTGGGTTTCTATTGCACGAAGTCAAAACAGCACCTCAGGATGCAGCAGGAGGGTAATACAGTCAGAACTAGTCTGAGATCCCTGAGAGAGCTACGGGAGGCTCTGCGGGAGGGAGGAAGAGCACCCTGGATGGTCTCCCTGTGGTGTGGTGGCCGTGAACTGGAGACAGGTGTCCCCCGCAGAACTCTCACTTCCCCACTTCACAGTGGGTGACCTCCAGCAAGGCACCTGCTCCCCTTCTTTGATGTTCTTATCTTTAACCTTTGCTACTTCCAAGGATACCAGGATAATTGATCCTAATAAACACTGCAATTGTACCAATTGCTATTTGAGGCATATGTCGTCTGCCACCAAGGCAGTCCCTGTCAAGGGCATCTCCAAAAGACAGCGACCAACGGTGCTGGAAAACTGGAAATCCACATTCAACAAAATGAAATGAACCCCCTCTCTCTCACCCTGACAAAACCAACTCAAAGTGAATCAAAGACTCAGGCATTAGACCAGAGACCCTGCATCTAACAGAAGAAAGAACAGGCCCAGATCTTCACCATGTCAGCCTAGGACCTGGCTTCCTAAACAAGACTCCTAAAGCACAAGAAGTAAAATCAAGAATAAATATGGGCTGGGGATGTGGCTCAAGCGGTAGCACGCTCGCCTGGCATGCGTGAGGCCCGGGTTCGATCCTCAGCACCACATACAAACAAAGATGTTGTGTCCGCCAAGAACTAAAAAATAAATATTAAAAAAAATTCTCTCTCTCTCTCTCTCTCTCTCTCTCTCTCTCTTGAAAAAAAAAAGAATAAATAAACAAGATGGATTCAAACTAAAAAGCTTCTCTCAGCAAAGGAACAATCAATAATGAGAGGAGAGAGATTACAGAATGGGAGAAAAATTGTTATCATAGAGCACTAATCTCCAGGATATATAAAGAACTCAAAAAAAAAAAAAAAAAAAAACTTAATGCCAATAAATAAATAAATAAAATCCAATCAATAAATGGGCTAAGAAACTGAATAGACACTTCACAGAAGAAGAAATACGATCAACAAATATATGAAAAAATGCTCAGCATCTCTAGCAATTAGAGAAATATAAATCAAAACTAAGTCAGAATGGCAATTATCAAAAATATAAGCAACAATAAATGTTGGTGAGAATGTGGAAAAAAATCACACATTGCTGGTGGGACTGCAATTGGTGCAACCACTCTGGAAAGCAGTATGGAGATTCCTCAGAAAACTTGGAATGGAACCAACATCTGACCCAGCTATCCCACTCCATGGTTTATTCCAAAAGGACTTAAAATCAGCATACCACAGTGATGCAGCCACATCAACGTTTATAGCAGCTCAACTCACAATAGCTAAGCTATGGAACCAACCTAGGTACCCTTCAGTAGATGAATGGATAAAGAAACTGTGGTACATATACACAATGGAATATTACTCAGCCTTAAAGAAAAATTAAATTATGGCATTTGCAGGTAAATGGATGGAGCTGGAGAATATCATACTAAGTGAAATAAGCCAATTCCAAAAAAACCAAAGACTGAATGTTTTCTCTGATATGCAGATATTGATCCATAATTGGGGCATAGGAGCTCAGGAAGAATGGAGTTAGTTCAGATTAGGTAGAGGGGAGTGAAGAGAAGGGATGAGTAGGGGGTAGGAGAGACAGTAGATGAACTGGACATTATTATGTTGTGTACATGCTGGGAGCCATTAGCCAAGTAGGTATGACAATTTCCTTGCCAGCATACCCCATGTTGCAGTGACATTGAATGTAGGTGACCTTGCTCAAGGACCAAGGCCGATTAGGGCGTTCCCGGTTTAGGTTCCAGGTTTAAGGTTTAAGATTATTCCTGCTGGGAATAGGGCGTATCTTGCTGCCTGAGTTCCCCTTGAGTTCTCACGGGATTCAGACAGTATATTCTTTGGGAGATAGAAGCCCAGTGGAGGTGGATTTGGGCAGAGAACGTGGATTTCCCCAGAACGTGATTGTAGACGGCTGGTGTGAGTTCGGGAATAAAGAGTTGCTGTTTGAATCTACAAGCTGTGTGGTGGCTCGTGATTGTGTGCCCAGCCAGACTGCGGCATCTGTGCCCAGCCAGACTGTGGCATGTACACATATGTCTACACAGCCGGTAGGGTTCTACATCACCTAAACCAGAAGAACGAGGAATCATACTCCCTTTATGTATGATGTATCCTAGTGCCTTCTACTGTCATGTATAACTAATTAGAGCAAATTTTAAAAATGTTAAACAAAGGGCATCTTCACTCTGTCCTAGAAGCCATGTGCTTTGCAATGACATCGAATGTGGAGATGTTTCATCTGCCCCTTTGAAACCACTGCTAATTATACTCACTTTGAAAAAACTGCCTATGGAAGAAAATGAGGTAAAAGTGACCACAGAATAAAAAATGACGCATTTCAGAATTAGTCTCCGCCACGGTAAACAGAGATCCCTCCATCAAACTCCAAGTTTTCTAGGTCATTTGCTGGACCACACAAGGAAAGGACTGAAAATGTAAAAATTCACTTCCTCTAAAAGCCTTTTCTTCTCCCCATGCTCCTCCTGAGCTTCTCCTTCCCACTTGTGTTCCTCCCTGTGCCCTGGCAAAAGGGGGCTCACCCGACCAGATCTGCCTGGAAGGCCCCTGCCCCTGCCTATCAACCTGCTCAGCCTCCGGCTCCACTGGGGCCACATGTCGTCTTACCAGAGAGAGCCTTCCTCCCCCTTTCCTTCCCTCTCCCTTCTCTCTCTCTCTCTCTCTCTCTTTCTCTCTTCCTCCTCCTCCTCCTCCTCCTCCTCTTCCTTCTCTTTCTTTCTCTTTTGGTCTCTTATATATAAAAGGTTGTGGCTCAGCGGTAGAGTTCACCTAGCACATGTGCAGCCCTGGGGTCGATCCTCAGCACCTCATAAAAATGAATAAATTTTTTAAAAAAGTGTGTCCAACTACGACTAAAAAATAAATTTAAAAAATTTACTTGTCACATAGTAATTGTATATACCTATGGGATACAATGTAACATTCATACATTTAAGTATGTGAACACATGCACACAGGCTGTCAGATCAGGTGATTGGCTTTTCCCTCACCCTTACAATTTCTATGTGCTAAAAACATGCAAAATCTTCTCTACCACCTAGTTTGGTACAACTAGATACCACTAATTCCAACCCCAGCTACGCCGGTGCTACAGGACAGGAAGCTGCATCTCCTGTGGCACCCTCCCTGCACCCATGGGCCACCCCGTCCAGCCGGAGGCTGCCGTCCCTCCCTGGCCTCCAGGTCTCCTGTTTTCCTCTCATAGGTGCACCGAGGTTGTTTGCTCATGGTCCATCTGTCCTGCAAATGCACGCTCCGCGAGAGCAGGGTCATTCTGCTTGTCATGGTTCTGGGTGCCACAAGCCATGTTGGGACCACGTGGGATTCACTAAGTGTGTGGTAGTTGACTCATGGTCTTGGCATCTCATCTTCTGAGACTGTCTTGGGCTGCACGGCCCCTCGAGTTGCTGCTCCTGCCCAGACCTGACTTAAAGAAGTCAGCACCTAAAAGAAGAGTCACCTCAACACGAGCGAGAAACATAGTGCATCCCTTTCCTCTGTTCTCCAAGGCACTTTGAAGCCTGTTGGGAAAGGGTCCCAGCAGGCAGCCCCCACGGGTCCCTTCTGTCACACCTCCACGTTGCCTTCCCTCACCTGTCCACTCTGCTCCAGGAGTGGACTCTAGCAGACCACACCAAGGGCTCCCAGACCCTCTGCCTTCCAGGCGGGTCAGTGGGCGGAGCTGCTGACTCCTCCTGCCCTCACCTGGGCCACTTTGACCTGGCTGTGCTCTGGGCACCATCGCAGGAATTATGACACATACTTCACATAGCTCTGGTGGGGATCAAATGAGATGGTGAATCCTAAAGTGTCTAGCACCTCGCCTGGGACAGAGCAGGCAGTAAAAGATACTAGCATTGTTATGGTGATTATTTGACACTTTAAGAAGAGTTAAGAAGAATATTCATTACAGAGTGAACAAAGCTACCTATTATCAGTGGGCAGCTGGAAGACACAGTGGTGTCAGGGACACCCTCCAAACCTCTCGCTCTGATACCATTCCTAAGGACTTTCCTTCTTCCTGATTTTTTTCTCTTAAAAGATGCAAAAGAAATTAAGAACCTGAAACTCTTAACTATTGTTCTGAAAGTACAAAGATAAATTGCATTTACTCAGGGAAGAGAAACTCTCCGCCTCTGTTCACAAAGTGGTAAGAAAGTGGTATCCTGATTTTGACCTTGCAGACTGGTGAAATCTACTTCATTTGGATAATAATTTAATTTCCAGAAAAACAAACGAATGATATTCCTTAAACTCTTAAGTAAGGAAGAATAATAAAGATGAACTAGAACAAAAACACATTAGAAAACTATAATAATAAAATAATTGATTATTGGCATTAAGATCACTAAACAATAGATACTTGATTATATAACTAATTTATGAGTATATTCTAAAGAGGGTATCACAAATTGGCAGACTGTCTAATGAATCACATTTCTTGGTTGGTTAGCTAAACATTCCAGTTAAGTTAGGACAAAGGAATGCGATCTTATCTGGAAAACGTATGATAAACAACTACCAAGGGAGAACTTTTCAGTTCAGCAGCAGTGGAAATAATTCCATGGAAAATCTAAACAAATACAAATGTAAAAGGAAAATGTTTCAATGCTGAAACAATATGTCAAGCATGTTTTGCTAAATGATAGTTAAACAAACTATGACCATCACATTTGTTAGACAGATGTTAAGTAAAAGTAACAAGATACAATTTTTGCCTCAATGAGAAGAGTCTGAGGGCTGGGGATGGAGCCCAAAGGTAAAATGTTGGCCTAGCACACCCAAAGCCCTGGGTTCAATACCCTGCACTGGAAAAAAATAGAAAAGTCTTTAACATACTAAGCTGCTTATGACTGGATGAATTTTTTCTTTGCTTGTATTTTTATTTTTCCTTAATGCACAGTAAACTTTTAAAAAAATAAAAGTATTTTGAAAACCTGTAAAAAAAACTGAGAAAAGTCTGAAAACCAGGAATGCCCTGAGCTAGTTAAGGTATGGGGAGAAAAGTCATGCACAGATACTATTTGCTGAGAGCCAAAATTCATCCGTTCTGAAGAATGGGTGGTAACACACTTCATAATGGAGAATGGGCAATGACTCACGCACTCATGTGGGGTCTCTAATTAAAAGGGCTGTGTTCATCCTACTTCTCAATTCCTGAGGTATTTGGTCCATGTAAAGCTACTTTCTCTTTTATTTGCTCCCTTTATCTCATTTCACTGCTTTACAGGGTGTCCTTCAGAGTGTCTGTGCAGGAGGTGCTTTGCGTTGTGTGCATTAAGTCCTATGCCCAGTGCAGGGTCTCCACATCAGTAGACCCCCTGATGTTGAGGTCCATGGTGTTGCCAGATGCATATTCAGTGCTCCTCTCCTAACAGTGCTGAGCAGTCCATGGTGGGTGTACGTCCAGCACATTTTACCTACTCATTCCCCAGATCCTGCCTCAGCGGAATTTCTCGTGATGTGAACAGGAGTAGATTGATGGTAACTCTGCCAGACACTTTCTAGAATGGCTGCACCAGCCACGCTCCCAGCAGACGCTTCGCGATCCCTACATCCCTGAAAATGTCTAGCATCATCTTAGTTTCTATCTTTTTTTTTGATTTATGAGTTAAAGAAATATTTTTGTGTGTTTAATAGTCTGTGGGTTCCTCTGTAAAACGCTAGTTCCTGCCCTTTCTTCCCTTCTTATGTTGCATTTCCTGTCTTGGTCAACTTGAAATACTTCCTATCATCTGCTGGGTATTAATCTCTTGTTGGTTATGGATACTGCAAAATATCGGAAAGTGTCACATGTCTTAGTTTTTTTTTTTTTAATCCATGATGCCCTTCCTTAACCCAAAATCCTAGATATTGATGAAATTATATTTTTGAAGTTTAATGACTGTCTGAAGAGTCGAGAAGTGCCACACCGTTTCCAAGCCAGAGATGTCCTCCTGTGTTTCTTCTGTAGCTTTGCAACTTTGCTCTTCACGTTCATGTGAAGCCTGCTGTAGGTGGAGGGGTAGGAAGTGTGATGTGGGTGAAGGAGTTTAATTAATCAGACCTTTTGCCAGTAACTCAGCGACTCCATGGCAACACCACTAAATGCAGAGAAGCTCTTATTTATTTTTGTGGTGCTGAGGATTGAACCCAGGGCCTTGTGCATGAAAGGCAAGCGCTTTACCAACTGAGCTATATCCCCAGCCCATCAGTTTTGTTTTTGGTAGCAAAAACAAAAACGTAAGTAGTTGAAATTCCAACAGAGAAAGGGCTAAATGAATTCTATGTTAGCACTTAATATGAACACACTTAAAAATCATATATAGGGTCATGCACCTCATAATGATGCTTCATTCAATGATGGGCCACACGTAGACAGTGGCCCCTAAGATTAAATTGGAGAGTAGAATCCAAGATGGCAGGCTAGAGGGAGGCAGCATTCTGTGTCACTCCGGGACCTGGGATCCAAGTAGTGGGAATGCTGTTTCTCTGCGAGTGATTAGAGAACCCCCGACAGTTGCTGCCACGCAGGTCCTCCAGGTGCCGCCACGCAGGTCCTCCAGGTGCCCGAGTAGGACAAAGGCATTAGCACTCGTGCAGGACACCCAAGTGCAGCCCATGCACAGGAACTCCTGTGTGGACCCCCAGCTACCATTGGGGCTCCTCTGGTCGCCTCCATCTTGGGGCATTGCAACCACTGTCACAGTCCCCTATACCCGGTAGCCTGAACCTGGTACACAGCCCTGGATCCAGAGATAGCCACCAGCCACACTACTGCACGCCACTGAGCTGCATCTCTGAACAAGCTGTTCAACACCACTTCCTGGCCCCACCTGACCCAAAAACCCATTGCTGAAAGCAGCCACCTCCATCATGGGACACCTTGGTGGCCTTTAGTTGGGAAAACTCCCTGCTTGGAACTCTGGCTGGGGCTTAGAAGCAATATCAAGGTACCAAAAGTCCCCAACTCCCTCCTCTCCCCAGCAGCCGCTAACCTGGCTCAGTGCCTGAGGCTACGCGGCTGGTCCTTAGCTCACAAAACTGGGTCCTGAACTGTCCAATATAAAACAGCTCTCTGTGACAGGGCACAGCCCCCAGAGTGCAGCCCACAAGATGGCCAGAGAGAAAGGTTCCTAATTAGGAAGTAGAAAGGGAGGGGTGAGTGAGACACAGTTTAGAGACTAAGTTAGAGACCAGGAATTGTGAGGTCAACAGGGATATAAGGAGATAAGACCAGGCACCCACATCACACGAGCAGGCCCCAAAGGAGATCCTTGGACCAACCCTGATGACTTTCACATCCTGAGGGTGAGATATCAGCAAACAGCAGATGACCTCACCTGCTGGTTGAGAAGCGAAGCTGGAAAGATACTGACCTCCCACAAAAGATCTTCTTTCCAGATTTTTTTTCCCTCTCTCTCTCTCTTCTCCCACCCTCACATCCCCAACATCTGTGAAACCAAGAACCTTTCATGAAATGGGCAGCTGAGGACTGGGATGTCTGAATAGTATGTCACAATGATGTTGTATATTGTTTTACCTCCTATTTTTACATTTTTTACTTTCTTAATATTTATGTTTGTTTTTGTACTCTATTGTCTTCCCACTTATTGTCTCCCCCAAATCACTTTCTCTTTCTTCTCCTGCTACTAACCAACTTTTTTAGATTCCTCTTTCACACTTCCTAAGATCTAATAAGTCTGCATCCTCACCTCCTACCCCTCAACATCTCACCCTACACCTCACCCCGGGTTCTTAGTCCACCACCAGAAACTGTAGACCCTTTTGCAAACCTACTGTTTATATTGTAGATAATCATTGAACTCACCATTTCTGATACTGTGATAAAACCATGAATGTCTCAATAGCAGCTATTTGGTTTAAGGCTGTATGTCTTTGCATTCGGATCTGTTCACATTGTCCTCCCCCTTAAGACAGAGGTCCTGGAAACCTGCAGGGACACCATGAGCCTATAGGGTAAAAACTGTCACACCTCGGATCCCCAGAGCTAGAAGGGAAGGGACATGAACAACATGAAACCACAAGGGAAGGAAGTGCCCAACAAACCAGGATACTACATGATGAGAATCCATGGGCGGCACAGGAGGAGAAAGGACAGAGGAGTTCAGGATGTACATGATTAAAATGTTCTGTGAATTAAAGGGTGAGATTAGAGAGCAAATACAGGAAGCAAAATACTACAATTAGGAGATAGAGGTTCTGAAAAAACCAAACAGAAATCTTTGAAATGAAAAAAAAAAAAAACCAATAAACCAAATTAAAAGCTGAATACAAAGCCTCACCAACAGATTAGACCACTTGGAAGACAGGACCTCAGACAATGAAGACAAAAGATAAAATCTTGAAAAGAATGTTGACCATGCAGTGAAGATGGTAAGAAACCATGAGCAGAACATTCAAGAAACATCAGATAATGTAAAAAGACCAAATTTAAGAATTACTGGGCTAGAGGAAGGCATAGAGGTCCAAACCAAAGGAATGAACAATCTGTTCAATGAAATAATATCAGAAAAATTTCCAAACATGAAGAATTAATTGGAAAATCAAATAAATACAAGAGGCTTACAGGCCACCAAATGTACAAAATCACAACAGATCTACACCAAGGCACGTGATAATGAAAATGCCCAGCATACAGAATAAGGATAGAACCTTAAAAGCCACAAGGGAGAGGAATCAGACCACATATAGGGGAAAACCAATTAGGATATCTTCAGATTTTTTCAACCCAGACCTTGAAAGCTAGAAGATCCTGGAACAACATATACCAAGCTCTAAAAGAAAATGAATGCCAACTGAGAAAATTATATCCAGTAAAATTAAGCTTTAGAATTGATGATGAAATAAAGACCTTCCATTACAAACAAAAGCTAAAAAGAATTTACAGCAATAAAGCCTGAACTACAGAACATCCTTGGCAAAATATTTCACGAGGAGGAAATAAAAAACAACAATAAAAATCAGCAAAGGGATATAGTACACTAAAGGAAATACTAATCAAAGGAGAAACCAAGTCATGTTAAATACCAAAAATAAACAAAAACGGCTGGAATACAAATCATGTCTCAATAATAACCCTGAATGTTAGTGGTCTAAACTCACCAATCAAAAGACATAGGCTAGCAGATTGGTTAAAAAAAAGACCCAACAATATGCTGCCTCCAAGAGACTCATCTCATAGGAAAAGACACCCATAGACTCAAGGTGAAAGGTTGGGAAAAAACATACCACTCACATGGACTGCGGAAGCAAGCAGGGGTGTCCATCCTCATATTAAATAAAGTAGACTTCAAGCCAAAGTTAATGAAAAGGGATAAAGAAGGACCCTACATACTGCTCAACGGACCATACACCAACAGGACATAACAATTATATGTCCCAAACAATGGAGCAGCCATGTTCATCAAACAAACTCTTCTCAAGTTCAAGAGTCAAATAGACCATTACACAATAATTCTGGGTGACTTTAACAAACTTCTTTCACCACTGGATAGAACTTACAAATAAAAACTGAACTAAGAAATCTATAGAACTCAATAATATAACCAATAAATTAGACTTAACCGATAGAGAATATTTCATCCTTCAATGAATAAATACGCTTTCTTCTATCAGATCTCAATGGAATGAAATTAGAAATCAATGATAAAATAAAAAGTAGAAGCTACTCCAACTCCTAGAGACTAAATAATATGCCATTGAATGAACAATGGATTGCAAAAGATATCAAGGTGGAGATTAAAAAATTCTTAGAGGTAAATGAGAGCAGTGATATAGCATATCAAAATCTCTGGGACACTGTGAAGGCAGTACTAACAGGAAAGGTCATTGCATGAAGTTCCTTCCTTAAAAGAAGAAAAAGTCAATAAGTAAATGACCAAAGCCCTAGAAAAAGAAGAACAAATCCACACCTAAAGCAGTAGAATAATTAAGATCAGTGCTGAAATCAATGAAATTGAAACAAAAGAAATAATTGAAAAAATTGACAAAGCAAAAAGTTGGTTCCTTGAAAAAATAAATAACATTGATAAACCCTTAGCCATGCTAACAAAGAGAAGGAGAGAAAGTTCAAATTACTAACATGTGTGATGAAAAAGGAAATATCATGACAGACACTACAGAAATATAAAATAATTAGGAATTATTTTGAAAATTTGTACTACAATAAAATAGAAAATATCATAGGAATTGACAAATTTCTAGAGTCATATGATTTGCCTGAACTGAATCAGAATGATATACACAAGTTAAACAGATCAATTTCAACCAATAAAATAGAAGACACCATCAGAAGCCTACCAACCAAGAAAATCCCAGGAAAAGATGGATACACCGCCGAGTTCTACAAGACCTTTAAAGAATAACAAATACCAATACTCCTCAAATTATTTCATGACATAGAAAAAGAGAGAATACTTCCAAACTCATTCTATGAGGCCAATTTCACCCTGATTCCAAAACCAAACAAAGACACATCAAAGAAATAAAACTTTAGACCAATATCTCTAATGAACGTAGATGCAAAATTCTCAATAAATTCTGGCAAGCAGCATGTAAAAACATATTAAAATGATAGTACATCATGATCAACTGGGGTTCATCCCAGGGATCAAGGTTGGTTCAACATATGGAAATCAATAAATGTAATTCATCACATCAATAGACTTAAAAATAAGAATCCTATGAACATCTCAATAGATGCAGAAAAAGCATTGGACAAAATACAGCACCCCTTCATGTTCAATACACTAGAAAAACTAGGGATAACAGGAACATATCTCAACATCATAAAGGCTATCTACACTAAGCCCCAGGCCAACAGCATTCTAAATGGAGAAAGATTGAAGGTATTCCTTCTAAAAACTGGAACAAGACAGAGATGCCCTCTTTCACCACTTCCATTTAATATAGTTCTTGAAACACTGGCCAGAGCAATTAGATAGATGAAAGAAATAAAAGGGATAAGGATAGGAAAAGAAGAACTCAAATTATCACTATTTGCCAACAATAAGATTCTATACATAGAAGATCCAAAAAATTCCACCAAAAAACTTCTAGAACTAATAATGAATTCAGCAAAGTAGCAGGATATAAAATCAACACCCATTAATCAAAGGCATTTCTATATATCAGTGACAAATTTTCTGAAAGAGAAACTAGGAAAACTACCCCATTTACAATAGCCTCAAAAAAAAAAATACTTTGGAATCAACTTCACAAAAGAGGTGAAAGATCTCTACAATGAAAATTACAGATCACTAAAGAAAGAAATTAAAGAAGACCTTAAAAGATGAAAAGATCTCCCTTGTTCTTGGATAGGCAGAATTAATATTGTCATAATGACCATACTACCAAAAGCACTATACGGATTTAATACAATTCCAATCAAAATCCCAATGACATTCTGCATAGAAATAGAAAAAGCAATCATGAAATTCATCTGGAAAAATAAGAGACCCAGAATAGCTAAAGCAATCCTTAGCAGGAAGAGTGAAGCAGGTGGCATCACTATATCAGATCTTAAACTATACTACAGAGCAATAATAATAAAACCAGGACGGTATTGGCACCAAAACAGACTGGTAGATCAATGGTACAGAATAGAGGACACAGAGACAAACCCACATAAATTCAGTTATCTCATATTAGACAAAGGTGCCAAAAACATACATTGGAGAAAAGATGACCTCTTCAACAAATGGTGCTGGGAAAACTGAAACTCCATATGCAACAAAATGAAATGAAACCCCTATCTCTCACAATGCACAAAACTCGACTTAAAGTGGATCAAGGACCAAGGAATTAAACCAGAGATCCTGTGCCTAATAGAAGAAAAAAATAGAAACCCAAATCTTCATCATGTGGGATTAGGCCGTGACTTCCTTAATAAGACTCCTACAGCACAAGAAATAAAACCAAGAATCAATAATTGGGATGAATTCAAACTAACAGCTTCTTCTCAGCAAAATAAACAATCAGTGAGGTGAATAGAGAACCTACAGATTGGGAGCAAATCTTTACCACATGCAGATCAGATAGAGCACTAATCTCTAGGATATATAAAGAACTCAAAAATCTTAACACCAAAAGAACAAATAACCCAGGCAATAAATGGGCCAAGGAACTTCTCAGAAGAAGATATACAATCAATCAACAAATATACAAAAAAAAAATGTTCAACATCTTTAGTAATTAGAGAAATGCAAATCAAAACTATTCTAAGATTTCATCTTACTCCAGTCAGAATGGCAGCTATCAAGAATACAAACAACAATAAGTGTGGTGAGGATGTGGGGGAAAGGCACATTCATACATTGTTGGTGGGACTGCAAATCGGTGCAACCAATATGGAAAGCAGTATGGAGATTCCTTGGAAAACTTGGAATGGAACTACCATTTGACCCAACTATCCACTTCTCAGTTTATACCCAAAGGTCTTAAAAACAGCATACTACAGTAGGGACACAGCCACATCAATGTTTATAGCAGCTCAATTCACAATAACTAAACTGTGGTACCAACTTAGATGCCCTTTAGTAGATGAATGGATAAAGAAACTTTGGCATATATACACAACGGACTATTACTCAGCAATAAAAGAGATTAAAATCACGGCATTTTCAGATAAATGGATGGAGCTGGAAAATATTATGCTAAGGGAAGTTAGCCAACCCAAAAACCAAATGCCGAATGTTTTCTCTGATATGAGGATGCTGATCCATAATAGGGGTGGGAGGTGGTGAGCATGAGAGGAATGGATGAACTTTAGATAGGGTCAAGGGGAGGAAGGGGAAGGAGGGGACATGGGGGTGGAACAAGAGGGACATCATTACCCCAAGCACATATATGAAAACAGGAATGGTGTGACTCCACTTTGTGAACAACCAGAGCCATGAAAAATTGTGCCCTGTACGTGTACCATGGATTGAAATGCATTCTGCTGTTGTGTATAACAAATTAGAATAAATGAATAAATGTTTTTTAAAAGATTAAATTGGAGCTGAAAAATTTGTGCTACCTAGTGAACCCACAGCTGAAGAGGCAAGAAAAAAGGGAGCCCTCGGAGAAGGGAAAGGGGAGCCCCTAAGACAACGCAGGAGCTCTCAGACCTCGACCAGCTTCTGCAGAAGCTAAGGAACCCGGGACTCCAGCCCCAAGGGTCCTCACTAATAGGATGTTCGCAGCGTGTTACATGCTAAAAGCGAAACTGTGGCCAATAAAAGAACTAACCGAGGAAGCTGCCGTGGACCACCTTCTTCTCAAGAGCGCAGGTCCTGCAGAAAGGTCTTTTAGTTTCCATCCACAGGCTGTGGTCACTGTTCCCGCCCAGAACTTCCTGCTGGACCGAGCGCAGCTGGAGGCCGGGCGTGGTGAGCCTGACCCCGGAGGACCCAGGGTGTGTGCCTTAGCCAGTCACAAAACCAATTTAAGTCAAAACAAACAAAAACCACTTTAAAGTAGAAGAAAGCATGTACAAAAAAGATAAGAGGAGAGAAAACACTTTCCTACAGCTACACGACTGTTTGTGTTTTAAGCTAAGTGTTGATAGAAAGAGACAAAAAAACGTTCATAATGTTAAAAAGTCAGCGTGAGCCAGGGGCGATTCTTAAAGAAAGCTCAGAATCAAAAACCCGCCCAGGCCTGCGCACCCACTCGCCCCGCGCCTCCTCTCCAGGGTCCCACGCCTCCACTCCAGGCCCCACACCTCCACTCCCAGCCCTGAGCCTCCGGCCCTGAGCCTCCACTCCAGGCCCTGAGCCTCCACTCCCAGCCCTGAGCCTCCAGCCCTGAGCCTCCACTCCAGGTCCTGAGCCTCGACTCCTGGCCCAGAGCCTCCTCCACCGCGTGCGCCCAGCCAGGCACCATCTAAAGACCTCTGGGACTATTTTTACTGTCCTTCTCGGCGCTTAGACACACAAATACCCAGCCTCATGCGGTAATTGCCTACAGTATCCAGCACGTCCAGGCGCCCTCCAGGCTCGACGCCCAGGAGCAGAGGCTGCCCTGTGCAAGCCGGGTGAGCGGCAGGCCATGGGACTGTGTCCGCCACCTCTGCACCGTGAAGGTGGCGGAACTGCCCTGGGACGCAGCTCTCAGCACGCGCCCCGCCGCCGAACCGACACCAGTGTACAGTGTACAGTGACTGATGCTTATTATAATGTGAACAGGATGAACCTCAAAATGCAAAAATAACACAGGGTGACTACAACTATTCGTCACGTGAAGCCCGAACAGAAGGCTGGAGAGTGGAGCAACTAGACAGACGATCAACGGGAAATAGGAGACTTGACCAAGACCCCAACCCGGCCCACAGAGAACTCTCCACTCAAGGACAGCAGGACATACGCTCGCCCCAAGGACCTGCGGAACCGCCTCCCGCACAGACCATATGTCAGGCCATAAAACAAGTTCCAATCAACTTTAAAGGTACAAAAACATATAAAATATGTTCTGTAACACAATAAAATGAAATTCGATACCAACAAGAGAACAACATTGGGGAATTCACAAATGTGTAGATATTAAACAACATAGTTCTAAGTAACAAATTGATTGATTAAAGAAGAAATCAAGAGAGAAATTAGAAACACATTGGTCCAGGCATGGTGGTATGCACCCATATTCCCAGCTACTTGGGAGGCTGAGGCAGGAGGATCACAAGTTTAAGGCTGGTCTAAGCAACTTAGTGAGACCATGCCTCAAAACAAAATATAAAAAGGGCTGGGGCTATAGCTTAGTGTTAAAGTACCTTTGGGTTCAATCCTTAGTAGGAAGGAAGGAAGAAAAGAAGGCAGGCAAGTTGGCCAGAAATTGAAACAAATGAAAACTCAAAAACAATATGTCAAAACTAATGGAATTCAGCTGACACAGTGTAAAGAGGGAGATTCATTCCTGTACACATTTACATTAAAAAAGAAAAATCTCAACCTCTTACCTAGGAAACCAGAAAAATAAGACCAAACAAAATACAAAGCAAGCAAAGAAAATAATAAAAATCTAAAGCAGAAATAAATAAAAAGTCTAACAAAACAGAACATCAATAAAAATAAAATTTAGCTCTTTGAGAAGATCCACAAATTGAGAAAACTTCAGTTAGACTGAGCAAAAAAAAAAAAAAAAATAGAGGTTTCTAAATTATTCAAATCAAGAATAAAAAACAGGACATTACTGTTGATCTTACAGAAATTTAAAAAAAAAGATTACAAGGTAATATTATGAACAATTATACACGAACAGAATAGATAACCCAGGCAAATTGGAGTAATGTCTAGAAAAAATTAACAAATTAAAAAACCAACCCAAGTAGAAAGAGAAAAATCTGAGCAGGTCTCTAACTAGAAAAAAAATTTAAACTAGTATTTAAAAAAAAAAAAAAAAACTTCCTGCAAAGACAGGCTCAGGCCCAGATGGTTCCACTGGTGAATCTGATGAATAGTTTGAAGAATTATCACCTGTCTTTCACAAAGTCTTCCAATAAACAGAAGTAGAGGGAACACTTTCCAACTCATTCAATGGGTCAGAAATAACCTGATAATAAAGTCAGATGAAGACATTTCAAGAAAAGAAAAACAAAGACCAATATTTCTCATGAATATAGGTACAAAAAATCTTAGCCAAATAAAATTTAGGAATATGAAGGTTAAACATGGCCAAGAAGTGTTTATGCTAGGTGGTCTCAATATTCAAAAAAATCAGTCGGTATAATACATTCCAAAATAAAAGGAAAACAAAATCACATGGTCATCTCAATTGATGCAAAAAAGGCATTTGACAAAATACAACACCCTTTCCTGATTTAAAAAAGCACTGGGGATGTGGCTCAAACGGTAGCGCGCTTGCCTGGGTTCGATCCTCAGCACCACATACAAACAAAGATGTTGTGTCCGCCGAAAACTAAAAAAAAAATAAATATTAAAAAAATTCTCTCTCTCTAAAAAAAAAAAAAAAAGAAACTAAGAATAAAAGGGAACTTCCTCAATCTGATAAAGGGCATCTACAAAAACCCCATTGTTGTTTTTCCCCTAAAGGCAGGAACAAGATAAAGAGGTCTGCTCTGGCCACTTCTTCCTGGAGGTTTTATCAAACCACTGGGCAATAAAATGAAATAAAAGACATCCAGAGTGGGAAGGAAGAGGTAAAACTGCTTCTCTTCACAGAGGACACCATCTTGTGTGCAGAGCATCCAAAGGTCTCCACTGGGAAACTGTTAGACTCAATAAATGAGTTCAGCAATGCTGCAGGACACTAGGTCGATAGAAAAAAAAAATCGATGATATTTCTGTGCATTAGTAACGAACAGTCTTAAAATGAAACTCACAAAACAATTCCATTTACAATAGCACCAAAAAGTACAGAGTGCTCAGGAAGAAGTTTAACAAAAGAAATACAAAACTTACACTCCAAGAACTATACATCATGGTTGAAAGAAATTTTAGAAGACTCACAAGGCATCCCATTGGGGCTGGGGTTGTGGCTCCGTGGTAGAGTAGCTCGCCTAGCACATGTGAGGCACTGAGTTCAAGCTTCAGAACCACATTTCATAAGTAAATAAAGATTTTGTGTCCATCTATAACTAAAAAAAAAATTTAAAGGCATCCCATGTTCATGGATCAAGAAATATCCATTGTTGGTAATATTCACATGGAAATACTCCCTCAAATTAACAGATTGAATATAATCCCTATCGAAATTCCCATTGCCTTTAATATTTTTTCAAGAAGTCCAAAAGCTGACTCCAAAATTCACATGGAAAAATCAAAAGATCCCACTCAGAAGAGCCAATCAGTCTTGGAAAAGAAAACAGAAGGGCTCACACTTCCTGATTTGAAAATAAACCCTTTCATTGTGATCGACTGATTTTTCAACAAAGTTGCCAAAATATCTGAGCCTCAAAGAAGATCAGCAGGAAAGATGGAGAATACCGAGTACAGGAGAGGATGTGGAGGAGGGGAGCAATCACACCCAACTAATGGGCATGGGAAAGGTGTGGAGCGGCAGGAGCACCGTGACAGTCCTCCAGGTGACCACAGGCTGCCTCGTGATCCCACAGTCCCGTTCCCAGGTGTACGACCAAGAGAACCACCACAAGTGTCTGCGTGAAAGTTTGCACATGAATATTTACAGCAGCTTCACTCATCCTCGCCCGAGTGGGATGCAGCCACGGGAAGCAAGGTTTGGCCACTAAAGAGAAGGAGATAAAGATGGTACAGACTGTGACACGGACCAAACTTGGACACACTACACAAAGTAAAAGGAGCCAGCCACGTGTTGTAGTACCCCAAGTATGTGACATCTACAGAGAAGGAAAACTCATGAAGACGGAAAGCAGATTTCTGGTTGCCAAGGGGCTGGGAATAAAGAGAATGCGGAGTGATCACTGGTCACAGGGTTTCTCTTTGGAGTGATGAAATGTTTTGGAATTAAGTAGTGGTGGTGGTCGCGTAGCCGTGTAAATATGATACAAATCATTAAATTGGACACATTAAAAAGGGTGAATTTTATGGTACGTGAGTTGTTTCTTGAAGAAGGAAAAGAAGGAAGAGGAGGAGAGGAGATGGTGCAGGAGAGAGGGATGGCGGCAAAGTCTGGAATGAGATATATCAAAGTGGCTTCCACGTGGGAGAGCAGGTGACCTCTTCTCACTTCTGCCTTTCTGATTCCCAATTTTCTGATTATGGCCCTATATTTTTTAATGATAATAAAACCCAATACTAGCTGAGCCTGCCCCGAGGTGGACTGTGCCCACCGATTTCTTGGGACTCGTTATGAAATCATTTCGGTCTTGGCAGCACTGGACTGAAGAGCAAGCTCTGTTTGCAAATCTTCCCAGTCCCATGGGCTTCCTTGGTTGAGCAGAAGTCGAACTTCATGGGGGCTGGCCATCTCCTGGGCCACCACCTGCTGCCTCCTCTGGCCTTGCCCTTTACCCACCGTAGCCAGGAGCACCAGCCCCCTCCTTCGGCTCCCAGCCTTCATGGCTTTTCCAGCTGAGCCGACTTCATGCAGGTAGGGAGATCCCTCGTTCCTCTCCTGCTGCTGTGGCTCCCGAGGATGCAAGCAGGTTACCTGAGACGTACACACCCAGATAAATCATCACGCTCTGTGTGTCAAGTACTGAGAATTTAACAAGTGTTCATTTTAAAAATTCTTAAGATGGGAACTAACAATATCATTTCCACTTTGCATTTCTGA